ATCTATCTATCTATCTATCTATCTATCTATCTATCTATCTATCTATCTATCTATCTATCTATCTATCTATCTATCTATCTATCTATCTATCTATCTATCCCTATCTTTTTTACTGCTGTGTCATAAACAATCAGGAACCTCCTTTGAGTTGCGATGTTTGGGCTAGGTTTGCTTCCCTATTCGATGATGTCGGCTTTTGGATAAGAGAAAAATATCTTTGCTTGCCCGTTATCAGCGGTAAATCCTTCAATCTATATAATATTCCTGAAAAAGAACACTAGAGGTCTTGGTGACAAAAAAGAAAGGATTTCCTTGGAATTCAACTTGAGCACACATTGTAAGCTAGACACAGTTTACGTAGAAGTCTCATGTTGAAAGCATGCTGTCTTATTACGCCAAGGTAATACAATAAGAAAATTAGCTTATGTATTGTTACATAGAAGTTACTCTCTCTCTCTCTCTCTTGTCAGAGCTCACAAAGACTTTCAGAAACTTCCTTAAAAGAAGCAGATTCAGTGATATCCATAATGTAGGAACCCATCAGTGAAGCAACAACAGACAATCATGATGATTTTTTTACCACTACCAGGCTGTGTTTCTGATGATTTTTTTTTTCTCAACTTGGTGAGGTTTCAGTCTTCTGTCTAAGTGTTCCACCCATCTGAACGAGGTATCTTTTTCTTTTTGCCTCTCGACGTTAAGAACTCCTGGTTGATCCCTTCACAGAATACTTTCTTGTTGATATTTGTTCATGTAGCAGTACTGTCTCTTTCTTAAAGATAGTGCTTTTAGACAGATTCAAATGTCGTAGTTTTTTATGCACAAGAAAGTTAATTATTGTATTATTGATTCTGCGGATTAAATTTCCTTTTTGCCTATTTAAGTTTCTCCCCCCCCCCCTTTTTTTCGGGGGGTGGGGAGTTCAAACAAACTACCGTTTTGCAGGTTTGGGAGTGGGCTGGTTTCGAAGACTAGTATGTGGGTGGTTGGCGGGTGCTCTGGTATGGTTTGCTTCTTCTTTCCTATCAAACACCTATCGTCCTTATCTCCCCTTCTTCTTTTTTATGTTTGTTACTCTCTTGGAACACCTCTAATCTTCTGGCGCTCAAATGACCTAATGCAGTTGCGAGTGCCGTAAAACCTCTACTAAAAAAGAGACTAGTGTAAAAATCCAAGTGTTAATGGGACAATTCAAGTTGCTGTATTCTTTCGTCGTTCTTAGAGTCGACCACAGAGTGAAACATTTTAAACTGAAAATATAGTCATCACCGTTTTCATTTGCATAGAAATGACTTGTGGCCTACCGAAGTTTTAACACAATGTAAGTTCATATTTTGTCCAACTCTCTTTCTTCGCATAGTCTCACTAAATTAAGTTTAAACCCTTGCTTCTGTGTCTGAAGTGTTCTAAATTCGGACAGTCAAAAGCCAAGGTGCAGAATAGAACTGTAACACAGGAAGCCTCTTACAACACTCATTACCCTGGGAAGAAAAGAGAAACTTTCACAGGTTTCGCACGGCGATATTAGATTTTCTCGCTAGTCAGAAAGGATCGGTAATACAGTGGGGCGATTGTTGGAAGTTCGATTAAGGTATACATTATTGTTAACCCTGCTCAGACGCTAGGGAGCAGAGATACTAGTTTTTCTCGGCTCCTGTTACCGGGGCACATATGAAACCTCGTCATCACTAGTAGAACTGAATGCACCCCATTGTAACAACCCCACTGAAAAGATACTCACTTGAAAAGAAAGGCTATTTATGGACGCAGGGGAAAAGACGACAGGACAAGTAAATTGGAGTGTCGACCCAAGTGTTGTATTCTGCCTCTATTAACAGAATCCTATGTACAAAATCTAGATGCCCCCCCCCCCCCAAATAATGATCCCTGAGACTGATGAGAGAACACGGTTCCCCCTACTTCGTAAGCCTTGTCTTGTATTCTTCCCCCTTTTGACTTCTCACATTTCGTCATCCATCTGAACGTAAATCTAATCTGTTCCGTAAATGAAACGTTTTCGAAGTATTTTGTTGTGTTTTTAAAGTTGTCCCTTTTCCTTCAGCTCCCTTTCTCTTCCTGTTCCACGTTGTAAAAAAATTTGGTGTCTTCACCGGTCCTTATTTTCTTGCTTCCGTCAGAGGCAAGTGTAGGCCTACTTTGACACGGCGGAAACATCTAATAATAATAATGATACTTATAATAATAATAATAATAATAATAATAATAATAATAATAATAATAATAATAATAATAATAATAATAATAATAATGAAAATAATAATAGTGATATTGATAATAGATAGCATTCGTACAGCGTAAATACCTGCTCAACAGCAAGCTCTATCCCCTTCACAATCTATACTATTACCCCAGCATACCTGAGAGCATTCTGGAACAACCTCAACTTCCTGTCCTGGGAAGCATTTGTGCAAGCGGCGATTTAAAGGCGCTAAAACACTAACATACTGATGACAAGATCTTTCGCTGCCTATGGCCGGGTACCTATTCCCGCCTGGGTGAAATGAGGAGAATTCGTGTAAAGTGCCTTTCCCAAGGACACGACGTCGGCCCGAGGCTCGAACCCCCGAACTCGCAACCTCACGATTACGAGTCCTGTAAAAGAGGTGGTTGTTCGAATTGGATATTCAAAACTTAAACCATGTCTTTGACCTAAACTTCACACTATTGTTATATATTATAGATCTATTATTTCTGTTCAACCCAACCATAAGATATAATAATTTGTCTTATAAAGTTTCAATATGCTTAATCTACATCCAAACATTATCTTTTACCTTAGAAATGAACAAAACGCCGACGTCGTTGCACAGTTTGCATTATGATTAACGTTATTTCTTTTTCCAATGAGGTACAAAACCCCCTACGCAGGAATTATATTGAAACTTGTGTTTACAAGCTAAGCTGATATTCACTTATTTCTTCTAGCCTAAGCTTTATCGTGCAGTGTCAGGTCCGAGTCACTAAGTTTCCTCGAGTGTTGGCAAGAACGTGGACCCCACTCGAGCAGACAAAGGCCTAATTCTTTATTATGTTTACACAGGTCTACGAGGAACGGTCTGGTGTGCCGCTGCGTTACTCAACGGATCTGTCAACCAAACGCCTCTACAGGATCCCAAGTCGTCTTACTTTGAGGCTGAAAGCATTTACACCTTAGAGATTTTTCCAGAAACATTGGAATTGGACACCATTCTCTGTAAGGGCGAGGAAAGAGGCTGAGAGTAAATCTAAGTTTTGAGAGCGCTGAAATAATATGTAAGTTTTGGATCTGACTGTGAAAGGTTATGCTTGATCTTTACACGCCCACTTAGTTCCTATTACAAATTCTGTTTCCGTACTTTGATTTTAGTTCACTACTGTTCCGGACAAAAATAAGTTCATAAGCAAACATGCAATTAGTAACAATTTTTTAAAGGGTTCTTTTTTATCTAGTTGAGCTCTAAAATAATTCAATGTTTTACTGTACTTGAATGACTCAACGAGGATTTTCTTCTTTTTTCAATGTTTTGTAGTGTTTTTTAGATAACACGGCATTGCATAAGGAGTACGCCTTTTTCTCGAATGTTTTATTTTATTTGTTTTTGTAAGTATTTTACAGCGATTGAACACAATTATTATTAGACCTTATAAATGCCAAAGATAAGAGATGTTACAAGAGATTTTTGTTTTAGTAGAGGTTTTAAGGTGCTCGCAACTGCATAAGATCATATGAGCGCCAATGTGTTGATGTCAACAGAGTTAGTCTTTACAGGGAATCAGACTTAGACTGCTCACCTCTCTAGCTTCAACAGCACAAGGTCTGCTTCGACTGTCAAGGCACTTCGGAAATAACGGGTCACACGAGTGTGACAAACATAAAAAAGAAGTAGAGGAAAATTATGATAGTAATGATTAGGGAAAAAAACAGTTCAGGCACAGTTATGAGCATGACCTTGGTGAATCAGCCCATTTACAATTCTACAGGGCTTTAGAACATGTTAATGTCGCTCCTTTGGGAATGGCCTAAAGACACATCAGTCAGTAGCACTATCCTGGGGTGTTTACAATAGAGTAACAAACACAAAAAGAAGGAGAGATAAGGCCGATAATAATGTTATGTTTGATAGGAAAGAAGGAACAAACCACACCTGAGCAATCGCCCACTTCCCACTTTTCTCGACTCTCACATATTATGCACAGAATTTTTTACATAAACACCCAACAAAGTTGTCAAGTCCCATGCGAGTTACCCGTGTCGTCTGTCACTGGCTTTCAATGGCCTGCTTTCTCTGTAGACATGATAGAAAGAATAGACAGCATATCGATTTTTTCTATTTTGATATCGCGCCGATCTCAACTCCGCTCTTCGCAGACAAGATACGGCAGGCGCCTGTGTTAGAAAAAGCCGCTCCCACTTCTGTTCTGAACACTGTAAAACAGCGCTTATAAGTTACACGAAGTCTGTCACATAGGAAATACCCATTAATGAAGACGGCACCTTGCTACTGCTTCTTCAATCATACTGAAACGATTTTTTGAAGCTTTAGTGTCTCGATCACGTCTTTCCTGTTTTTCACAAAGTAGTCAAATGTTGACGACAGACAAATTTCGCAAACAGTCCTCAGTAGCAATATTCTAAACATAATTAAAGCTGGAAAACAAAGCTTAATCAGAATGTTCCCCTGGTACGAAGATACTCGAACCATTATAACAATATTTTCTGGGACAAATAGATATTGACTGTTCCTGGCACATTGCTCTGTTTACTAGAAATGCGTATTTTGTAAATTTGCCATGAAATGCACGAATGTGTAGTTTGACCTTCCCCGATTTCTGTGAATACGTCCCTGTTTACGATTAGAGGACATACGTTTTGTATAAACACAAAAATACATATAAAATAGTAAATGGAAGTTTGCCATCACACGATGTCTTTACGGGAATAACACAAGCGGCAAGACTTCCTGGTTGAAGTTTCAGGCGAATTGTCGTGTTATTATCTATAACTTCGAGTGGAAAACACCGAAAATAATGCAAATGTGATTAGATCTATCGTTTATTGTCTCGATTTTGATTTTCTTGTTATTTATTCCGATTAAGTCACAATCTGATGGATATAGATTTCAGTTGTTAAAATTTACTTTAAGTTGAAAAGTTTTGATTTAAATGCGGGACCTTTCCTCAAATCATATTTGATGCACGTTGACCACCTGGGTTCAAATCCATGCAGGGCGTTTTCAGAGGTACATTGTCTGGGACCTTTCTCGGACTCTGAAGCCCATCCTGACGACAAAAAGATATACCTTTATAAAATTGAACCCTCGGTCTATGAACAGCATCGTTTACAAGGTGTGTCAATTTAAGCTGAAGAAAGATTTTTATTTGTGTTTAGAAGTCCGATCACCAAAATGACAGATAAGGCTCTATCACGCTTCTGCTTCGATGCACGTAGACAAATACTAGAAGTAGACTTTATAAATGGGAACTTTGTCTTAATTAGATTGCCTGGTATGTATACGAGTAATATTGACTTTCACATATTTTTATATAGAAAATGTAACGAATGTTTCCCAGTAGCGATTAATGGAATCCCCCAAACTATTCCAAACGTTGACACAAGCATGTTTTAATTTTTTTTAAAGTTTTTTTTGGTATTTGTTCTACGGCCTAAGGACATATGAGCACGCGGAAAACATTAAACATTTTCAGTTGGTTGGAAATTCTGAATTTTGCCCGTGTGGCAGCCGAAGCCTACTCATATCAATTTTGCACCACAAGGGGATCTTTAACGAGCGTAACTAGCACACGGGACCTCCAATATTTTTGGCCCTTGTCGGAGACGGCAAGGTGTAGATCTTTCCTACCATAACATCAGGGGTGTGGCTGAAGGACAGCAGTAAGAAGGAACCAGGAAGTAGTAGTAGAAAGGCTGCAGAAAGAGTCATGGGCCCATAGGAAGGGGCTAAGGAGTTGAAGGGGTAGGGGCAGAAAGTGGAGGCGAGAGCAGACGAAGGAACATTGCTAGAGAGCAGGTAATGTGGTGAAAGGAGACAATTTTAGAGAAGACAAATTTCCGAAGCAATCCGGATTCGAACTCGGGACTTACTGAATGAGAGGCGAACACCTTAACCTCAAGGCCAAGAGAGCCCCCAGTTTTAATATTCGTCTTTAAGTAACTGAAAATAATATGATGCGCCTGTTGTCACTAGTAAGCCAAATATTACTATTCTCTTTGTCTTTTACGAGAATTGAATTTGAAATGATCACTGATTTACAGTATTCACCCTCTCTATTAGGAAATGAACAAGCCTAGAAAGAAGCGAAATAAAAACAACGAGTATTTCTTTTTCTTCTTGTTGTTGCTGTTTTTTTGTTTTGTTTTGTTTTGTTTTTTGTTCTTCTTGCTCATTCATGTCGGGAGCTCTGCAACAGCCAAAAACCATTAACTGGCATGGGCACTTTACTGACTGAGGGCCTTTGGAAAGTTGGACTGCGCAGAAAATCCATTAATTTTAACCACCTCTTGTTATACAGGAACAGCCCCTTCCCCTCTAAGAGAACACTAAGTGTCCTTAGGTAAAGTCTGTTTAAGAAGAAAAAAAAAGAACTGATTTCTACGGATATAACCCAGTCAGCTTTGCACTAATTTCTACCCAAAAAGGGGACGTCAAATTCGTTAATAAAAATTAAATTGATTCGCATATTCGAGAAAAATATTAAGCTTTTTAAATGTCGTTTTAAAAAAAATAGTAAAACTCAAAACTTTACAACTTCTTATAATTAACCAAATTATGTATTTGTGTCTTAAAGAACAGTAGTTAGTTAAAACTGATCACAACTTTTTCAAAAGTTTAAGCTGAAGAGGCAAATGGTGACTATCTTAGCTTTTTATCTTCAAAATCATTTCAGAGATGGCCCGTTCACTGAGAGCCTTTCCTTGGGCATTCTTGAATTCGGGTCGTTTTGAAGAATTTTCAAGGCTCTCAACCCATTAAATTGACTCGGTCCTATCGGAGACGAACTTTAAACTGAGAGGTCCAGCCTCTTAATATTATTGATGGGGGCTTTAACCCATACACTTACTTTTTAAAAGTTTTTGAGCTGCTTTTTACTAAACTGGACGCTTGGGTAGTTGTCGGGTGCTTTAGTATGGTTTGCTCTTTGGTCCTTATCTCCCCTTCTTTTTGTATTTGTTACTCTCTTGTAACACCTATAATTTTCTGCATTTATATTCCCAAATTGTTTTGCAAGTGTCGTGAAACTCTTACTAAAAAAATCTGAACACTCAGATCAACTGGCAGGGAGCTGGAGAGAAGTCGTAGTAAATAGGGACAAAGGACACCATTGAGGTTACGCTGTACGGGTTGCGTCTATTTTCCATACTTATTATAAGTCTTCTATCACCAGCCCTAGTTGCTGAGAGAAGCAGATATTTATATATCCGCCAGTGATATCGTGTAGCTTGTGCATGGAACGGTGATGGAAGTGAAATCAGGGCTGGAGAAAATAATGAAAGTGGAATCGTTAGCAAGATAGTATACATTACAACACGTTATGTTCTGAAATCCCTATGATTCACTTGTTTTTCTTAACTACTCCCCTCCCCCACCTCTCCCTTTCTCCCTTGTAACGCATTTTATTTGCTCTTTTGTTTCTATGACGCTCTGGTGCTGATTCCAGTTTTACTGAGAACGGAATTAAAACGGAAAGCTTAATTCAATAGACGATATTGAATTGGAACGATAAAGTGAAAGAAAAAAAAAACATGAACGTCTAAAAACTAGAAAATACTACGTTATTTCGCGAACCGATGCGCAGATATGTTGTTGTTTTGGTAGACTGTAGTGTAACTGTATGTCACGATAAACTTGTTGGTGATTGGTGTCTTATTTTGAAATATCTCAATAAAAACATGTTTATTTACCATGAAGGTGGTGAATGCGGCCGCCACTTCTTCTTAACCGAGAATTCCAAGAGCTCTCTGGATGCTCTATAACGTCACAAGATCCATGATGCTTCGTGACCAAACAAGTCCCAAAGCTTTGCATAATTATTGTGTCGGTGTCCTCCTAGTTAGCTTAAAACCTCTAACTGCTAGATAATGGGACGTGTGGTGCACAGAACGATAGCATAACTCTTGTCATGTAGCTATATTTACACAATTCAAACGACAATTTTTGACTGTTTATAGTGAAACAAGAGTTTGCTTATTACATTTTGTGTGTAATAAAAATTCAAAACAACTTTTAAAAGTCATGTACGCACAAAGCACACGTTAATGCAACTCCGAAACATTTAGGATTTTGTTCCTCTTTTAAATAATATACAGATATGAAACAAAGTTTATCTCTAATTATAAGTAACATAATATTTTCATTTTTCACTGCAGGCTAATTTCTAACCATGTGGCTGGAAAAGGGGACACCATCTAAGCGACACCTTTGACCAGACCTCGTCCTCTCATGTTTGCAAATGGGAGACAGAAACAAAATCATGGTAGACCCTGTTGTCTCCTCTCGCTTTGGCAAGCGACCCCTGCTGGAGATCCCGCCCATGTCCCTCTCCGGATACGGCCAGATGGAAGTCACGTCTATTGAGCACTCAGGGCCTGGGACCGTGCACGTCACGCCGTTTGCTAACACCAACAATCCGATGTACGGATCTGGTGTTGCAAATCCGAATATGCATCCCGGTTTTATGACAGCAAGTGGATTGCCACCGCCGCAAGTCGGACCAGTGGCATATCCCGGATATGAGAGACGGTTTAACACGGCGCCGAACCTCTACCCAGCTGGTCGTCAGTACTTCTATGGTCCCAGCGGAGAACTCATCAGTGGCAACCCTTTGCCCCATCCGTCATATCCGGGCGTTTTCAACCCGTACGGCCCTTACGGACCGCCACCGAGACCGGTTCCGAGAATAGTATCAGATCCGGCTTTCATGCCGGGAGGACCAGGTTTTAGTGTGGAATGTATTCTGGAGTACGGCAGAATAGTTAACATAGACACACGTGATACTGGTGGAGATTTTCGGGGCATCCCACCATTTATCCGAGACGAACTAGTCCGGACGTACGGGAAGTATCCTTATACTGAAGTCAAGCTCCGATGTGAGAACGGAGAGTTCCATATCTACGCTATGCACAATCAACGCCAAGGGCAGAGCAGGAACAGGCGAGGCAGGAAGCGAGAGGGATCACGTGGACGAAAGCGAGACGACTCGGACGATGATTCAGACAGCGCGTATGGAGACACGTATTACGAGGAGAAAGATAGTCGCTTCCGGAACCGTGCCCGATCAAACTACGACTCCCGCAGTGAAGGAATCAAACCGCGGGCGCCTCAGATGGCACCCAGAGGCATCAACCATGAGCGAGGCTGGGACAACGTACGGTGATGAGAAAGAAAGAAGAAAGGGAAAAGCAAAAAGGAGTTTATTATTCATTGCCAGGAAGTGCTATTTCACAAAAGAATAACCCCCACCCATCTCCCATAAGTGTGACATCCGTTGTGTTGTGACAGCCCAGAAAATAAGTTTTTGACCTATTGACGAAATTACATTCAAATTAATGGTCTTTCTGTATTTAGAAGAGTATTCAAGTTCTCTTTTTTTATTCTCTCAAAACATGGCCAGAGACTGATATCTCATCAGTTAGAGCACGGCGTGTTGCTGTGTGAGCGATGACACCGAAAAAGCGCTCACCATAATAATATTATTTTATGAGTTGAGCCACAGCCTGGTCCGAGCTTCCAGCTTCGAGGCGTTACCTCCATTTAATGATAAATTGCTCTTGTACTTGTATAGCATAAATTCCAGCTCAAAAGTGAGCTCTCTGCGCTATGCCACCAATATTATTACCCCGGCCGATAGCATTCTGATACAATTTCAACTTCCCGGGAAGCATTTAGCGGAAGCTGCCATTATACAGACGGTAAATCACTAACATACTGACAAGATCTTTTACTGTTTATGGCCGAGTACACATGTCCACGTAGGTGAAGTGAGAAAAATTCATTTCAAGTACGTTTCCAACGGATACAACGTCAGGCCTGAGCCCCGAACCCCTGAACTCGCAAACCTCACGATTACAAGTGCGGGGATCTAACCCCTTCCGATGCCACTTAAGGATTCCCCTCCCAAACCACATACACACACACACACACACACACACACACACACACACACACACACACTCACACTCACACACACACACACACACACGCGCACACACACACACACACACACACACACACACACACACACACACACACACACACACACGCACACGCACAATCTCTTGCTTCTATCACATGTTGTGAGTGCCATTATTATTATGTAGCGGAATATTTTTCTGCAAGGCAGGAGTCAACATTTATTATTTGATGTTGGTTTATTGCTTGGTTCGGTTTTGTTTTGTTTTTGTTTTGTTTTTTTGTGTGTGGGGTTTTTTGTGTGTTTTTTTTTTTTTTTTTGAGGGGGGGGGGGGTACTTTTTAAAGAGATATTGATTCACTGCTATTACAAGATTATAACTGTCACATTTTTCTTGGCTTAACTGAGTTGCTTTTCCGAGTCATTTCCTTTCCTTTTGGGCAGAGGCAAAGGTTTTATGGTTATAATGTCCTTTAAAATTTGATAACCAATTACCCTGAACTGTAACGTCAGGCTAGATTTGATTTACCTATGTTTTAATGGGCGTTGTCTTAGCACATTTTCGATTATAATTTTTTTAGATTGCTTTGGCACACTTTGCGTCATTTGGCATGTTGAAATTGAATAAGAATTTGACTCCACCCTTTTTGAAGATACAAAAGACCACACTTTTCATTGTCATATATTATTGACAATACTTTGAATCCATGTGTCTTCGGCTTGTCTTGCATTACTCAATAGGTTTTCGATTGGTGCAAAGGTATGATGCAAGCCATAATTGTTTTCTCGAAATTGGAGTTTAAAAAATTAAGTTTGAGAGTCAGTCATAGTAAGACCAACGTCTGCTGTAGACATTCAAAACTCAAGACGCATCCGAGGAAGCTTAAAGTTACAATCCTAAAGGTATTGGAACTGAGCTCACCTGAACAGTACAGTAACGTCACTGATGACTAGATACAGACTGGTGCTCAAAAAAGCAGTATTTTAATTTGTGACGGGTACATAAAAAAAAAACTCTGAGAGTGCTTCTTTATTTACCTACTTTGTAATTTTTTTCTAAAGTTCTTTTGTTGTTTATTTTCAACCAGGGAGAGGGTAGGGGATTCAAAGTCAGACTGGAGTCAGCCACAGCGCTTGACATTTTTCTGAAATGTACTGTACTGATCTCAATCAGGTCAGTAAAAACCTCTCAGTTTCTTTAACCTAGAAGCAATCGTTCATATTTCAAATAGGGAAACCGACACGATGCTTTAGTCAACAACTTGCGGGCGTAGAAGCCAAAGGAAGTCCGCTCTTTATATTAGTAGGGAAGCGTATTTCGAAATACATGTAGCCGAGGCAATCAGAATATTAACAAAACGGAATGACACTTTTCGGTGCTCTTTTACAGAATAAAGTTTAGGTCAAAACTGACTGTGATTTTTTGGTATGTTTGGATAAAACCATATCTGTCTGTGCGAATCATTCAAACTGACCTTCAAAAAGTATGGGTTTAGAAAAGATGCCCTACCCTTTTTCTTTTTTCCTCCGTCTCTCACTTTCTTTCTTTCTCTTTCCGTTCTCTCTGTCTCTCTGTCTCTCTCTGTCTCTCTCTGTCTCTCTCTCTGTCTCTCTCTCTCTCTCACACACACACACACA